CTAGCGCTACTACTACTGCCTAGCGCTGAAGACTACTGCAGCGCTCCTCCTGAGTGCTGCGGCCGAAATCTGAAGACTACCGTCCTACTCTCCAACTGCCTACCCGTTCAGTGCCTGAAGCTCCTATGTACTATCACGGGTGCCTCCTGACTCGGGCGAGCAGTCCAGAGGGCTGCTCTTGCCAATAATGCCGAAGGGAGGCAGGGGCTGCAGCTCCTGCTCGTGCTCCTGCCAATAATGCCGAAGGGAGGCAGGGGCTGCAGCTGCAGCTCCTGCTCGTGCTCTTGCCAATAATGCCGCAGGGAGGCAGGGGCTGCAGCTGCAGCTCCTGCTCGTGCTCTTGCCAATAATGCCGCAGGGAGGCAGGGGCTGCAGCTGCAGCTCCTGCTCGAGCTGGCGTGGGAACAGGCCAGAAATAGCCTGTTCCGAAACCCAGTTTTCGTGCCTGAATCTTAGGGCAGGTCGAAACAAATGAGGGCCTAAAAATAGCCCATGGCCTAAGAATAGCCCTCCGTTTCAGGCTGGAAAAACTCTGGGTTAAAGACCCAGAAATAGGCTGAAACGGAATAGGGCCTGCAGGCCCTCGTTTTTCAGTTTTCAGGCTGAAACGACCGGGGCCTGTAGCTCCTAAGTTTTAGGCTTTTAGGCTGAATGTCCGGGACGGGTCCTACAGGGCCCGTGTGGCTACGCAGTATGCCACAGTCACTGTGGTGTTTCAATGTTCCGTGGTGGATTGTCTCTGACATATTCCGACGTGGTGATGTGAAAACACCACATTTGTTGCGGCCAGAATGTGGTTGGTGATTCTACTTTCCGTGGTGGATTGTCGCTTGCATACTTGGACGGAGTGAGGCGGAAACAAACACTAGATTATGGGCTACTTTGTCTCCCAAGAATATAGACAGGTAGTTTCTTCCGGCCTACTTTGTCTCCCAAGAATATAGACAGGTAAACACTAGACTAGGGATTGACTATGAATGGCAAGAAGAGGGACCAAGTGGCCGGATTCATGTACTCTATAGTCCTGTGCATTCGGATCTACTCCCGTACTCATTGTCGTCTAGTCTAGTTCGGTGCAGGACCTACTATACTCTCATCCTTGGTGCGCAGCGACATGCCACTCTATTCCAGGGGTGTTGATGCTTTGATGTTAGGTCTCCAGAGCCCATCTATTTTCTTCCTCTCTAACTGTGACATGAAATTTACATGTGGCTTCCCCTTGAAATTTGTTTCCAAACTCAAATCAGTTTGGAATCAGCGTTTGTACTCAGTTTGACATTATTAGTAATTCTCTTTATCAATAAATAATAATAAACGAAGAAGAGCCTCTGTTTTTGATGCCTCTCTCTCTAGGGCTGCCTGTTTCTTTAGGTCCCTAGAGTCTGCCCGTTTCAACCTGAAATCATATTTGCGAAATCGTGATAATGTCATATTTGAATTTGGAAGTTCCTGTTCTGGCTGCCATCCCTCATCCACTGTGTGTGCTTCCCCAGACAGCTCCATGGCTTCAAGTTGTGCATGCAAGGATGCAAATGATGTTGGTCACTTCATCCAGTTGTTCCCATGTATTATTCTGTCCCCTTGCTTGCAGATAATTGTTCTGGAGGATGCCAAGGAGTACATGCGGTACAACACTCAGGAAGAACTTGAGCTTCAGGAGAGGAAGCCGTTCAACCTCCTGGTAAGTTTCTCTCTACTACCAGTCTTAACCAATATGCGACCCCCATGATTGCCTAGTGCCAACCACCATCCCCTGTTCTTTTCAAAGAGGCTTCGCATGTTGCTACGAGGCAGAAGTCACCAGTAGTTGAGTCTCGATGTCCAGCGGGCTCTCAGGATGGGTGAGTATAGTACGCCTGCGAAGGACAAAAACGTTTTGTCATCAATCTTGCACCTCCGTGTGAGTTCAGATTCAAGAACTTCACTGTTTTTGTTGTTAAGAACACCCAGCACTCCATTCCATGTGGATTTCAGGGTATAGTTGTGACCATTTTCAGATGTTCTTTATGTGAAGAGGATGCGGCTTTGGCCCTCTGTTTTAGTTAGCTCTCGTCATAACTAAGTGACGAGGATTACAAAGGATTGTCATCAAAATGTCCTTTCCGCTACAGTAACTCTCTTTTCTATTCCTGAAGGAAAATTGAATATCCGTATATCCGTACGCAGATTGACAAGCCCCGTCACCTCAGGAGTCCGGAAGCTAGGGGGCATCTCAGTTTCTGGCCAGTTCCCTACTCGGAGTAATCTCAGAATGTACAGACTACGTCTCTTGCTTCTCTGGTCCTCTCGTTGTATGCATCGGGTGCTTCCCTTCCTCTGCCCTCGAGGCACCGGGCTGGCTCACACGTCTTTTTTGAACTCTTGCGATCAGCCCCATGTGTGTGTGTCTGTCTGTCTGTCTGTGGGTCGGTCGCGCCCGCGCGCCTATGGAAAGACCGCCCCTCTGATCACAACCGGCCGGAAAGTCACCAAGCACAACCCTCGAGGCACCGGGCTGGCTCACACGTTTTTTTTGAACTCTTGCGATCGGCCCCATGCCATTTTGGATCTGGATGCAATCCAAACCTAGGAAGATTTTCATGCCCGGCAGGGCACCCGGGCGTGCAAATATATATATTGCCTTTCTGCGCTCTCCCAGAGGACCCCAAATCCGGGCTCCTTTCATTTTTTGAGAGTTGGCTGTCAAGGGGGAGGGGGGGGGGGGAAGGGGGTGTAAATTTGTTTTAAAGGGGCTAAGGGGGTTTAAAGGGGGGTGCCTTAGTGTCTTTTTTATCTCCGGTTCGGTGAGGAATTCTGCTGTGACCCTCAGCCAAAAGTTGTTTGTATTGCAATTCGACACAACATATTCTTTTTCTGGAATTTTTTGACTTTCGTTGTTGTTGTTGTTGTTGTTTTGCGCTGGGCCTGCCCGGAACCCTGCCCGGGGGTGATGCTGGGCCGGGCACCCGGACGTGTATCCAGGTACAAGTTGGGTGCCCGGGCGCCCGGGAAAACAGCCTAGATGCAAACTGCTTTCTATAATCTTTCCGGTTTCTTGTTCACACCTTTCACGACTGGCTCTGACCTCCTCTCTAGTCCCTACATGTCTTGCTCCTTACTGTGAGATTTTCTGTGGATCTCGGACACGCCCTGCTTTCAGCACTTTCTTGTACTACTTCCTCTCTCATCAAGTATGCCCCTGTTGTGGGCTTCCGAGTCTGTTGTAATCTGATCTGCCAGGACTTCCCGAGGTTGTTATGCTGCTGTGACCTGGGTTCCTTCCAGGTGGACCCTTGAACTTTCTCGGTCTTTCTGCATCTTTGTTGCTGCTATTGCTATCGGTTCAGTTGAACTGTCTAGGTGTAGTACGTGATGTTGTCTGTTCGGTGTTTATTCTTCAGGATTTGAACTGTTCACCGGTTTGATCAATAGTCTGTCTGGTGTATAGCATACAGCCACAGGCAGATAGGGACCTGGACTCCTTCCAGGTGAACCCCTGAACTTTCTTGCTATCTAGGCACGTTTGTTGCTTTGCTGGTTGGTTGCTGCTGTTGCTATTGGTTTACGGTCTTTTCAAACTTTCCGGTGGATAACCTCAACATTATCGCAACCTTCAGAATTTTAACTGTTGACCTGTTTGATCAGTAGTCTGGTCTATCCCATACAGCCACAGGCAGGTAGTGTCTGATTAATGCTGTCATCTCTGACAAATGGATTTTCAGCCGCTCTAGGAAAGCATGGCCCGACAGGACCATCCTTCGTCGGCGCAATCATGTACAGTAGTCAGCCAGTGTATTTGTGATCAGCTGTGCGGCCATGGTCTAGCAGACCAATGTATTGAAGGATGCAGGCATGTGTTTTTCTGACGAGGGCAGTCTTGTGAGTCACCTCTATGCATTGCATCACACACCTCATCTTCCCTTCCCCACCCATGGCCCCTCCCTCGCCCCCCGCGCCCCCTCCTCTCCTTCCCAGTCCTTACTGCTCTATCCACGGTTAACTTCTTGAAGCACCTGTACCTCCGCCAGTGTTGGGAAAATCGGGAAAACTGGCAGTTCTCCCGAACTCCTAAGAAGTCGAGGCCGGGCCTGACAATGGCTGCCATTTATAAATCTCATCAGCGACCATCGTTTCGTTTCGGCCTGCCTAAAGGGTGGGAGGCCCGCTATTTTCCCACTTGGCAAAGGTACTAGTGATTAAGTCTCTTTCTTGTTCATCTCATCTTTTCATTCTGGTTTGTCTTCGTGTGATCTTGCCACCTCCTTTTGCTTTTCCTTTATCGAATGCCTTTGACTGTTTTTAGTGTAGCTGCTTCCCGGAAGCTTTCATCCTCTGCAGGTCCATCACTGTTAGAAGTGAGAGCTATGATTGTGAACACTGTTCCCAGATGCCCCACCGTCCCTTATGGAAAGTGAAGCATTTCAGTCCATTAGCGCGTACATGCTAAATCGAGGGTCTATAAAAGAGAGTCTATTCTTAGCGAATGCGGTGATGCTGGAAGGCACCTCAGTTGAAGTCAGAGCTAGTATCATAGTATCCCTATTGACTTAATAACGTAATTACGTACCTATGAACCTTCTCAGTTTGACAAATCTGCTCCGTTGACTGTCACAGTAGTCTGAGTAGTAATGGTGGAGGAGGGCAACAGGGAAGAGAAATAAATGGGGTGGTTAGGGGAAAGGTGAACGTTGAATCTGGGCCATTTAACTGTTTCAGTCTGCTTTCGTTTGCTGCTGGATGAAATGTTCTGCATACAAAACAAGTAAAAAGGATGTGGCGAAGTAAGGGAAAAGCATGTGTTTGTCGGTCCTCGTGTCTGGGATTACGGCCATCATTTTGACAGGGAGGAGTGGATGTGGAAAATTATGCACTGGCTGTTTGTCTGGCTTCTCATGCGATGCTTGGCCCTTCTTTCAGCCTTACTGTTTGTTGGTCTGCATTTCTTCTGTCTGGGTGTGGAGGTGAAATTCTGGGGGCTTTGATATCAGCATGGGTGAGTTCAGTGTTATTGAATGGGTTGCATTGGTTTTTGTAGTATTTAATGTGTGCGTGATTGGGGTGCTTGCATGAGGCCATGTGGTGGAGGTGAAATTCTGGGGGCTTTGATATCAGCATGTGTGAGTTCAGTGTTATTGCATGGGTTGCATTGGTTTTTGTAGTATTGCATGTGTGCATTATTGGGGGTGCTTGCATGAGGCCACGTGGCCATGTGCATTAATTGGGTGCTTGCATGAGGCCATGTTATTGCCTGGAGGGGCTCCACGGCGTGCGGAGCTTTTCTGAATCATGAATGGCCGCAATGGCATACTTTTTTCCTCTTTTGGCTGGTGCTGCCATCCGTTGTGGTCTGGTAGGCCCGAGGCGCAAAATTTTCGGAGCAGGTGACAAGCAAATCTCCACAAGGCTGGGGCTGTGTACAAGCTGTTTAGTGAGGTTGCATTCCGTGTGGGTAAATTAACCCGAAATTTTGTGGATTTTGATGCCAGTATGAGTGCGTTCAGTGTTAAGGCACACCGGGGTTTCCTATTTTCTGTCTGCATCGTCATGGAGGCCCTTGCATGAGGCTAATATGTGATTCTTTGCTGGCTTTAGAACCATTTAGGTGAGCGTGTTTTCAGTGTAGGTATCCAGGAGCCCAGGAGGCACGCCGTCCAAGCATCTGTCGTTTTGTCGGGACCACTTGTATCTTAACCAAGGAGGCTTTTCTGGTTTAATTATGAACTGTTAACGACCAGGTTTAAATTGAGCAAGCTCAACTTTTCCAGCTCCCAAGTGAAGGTCTGTTTTGAGTCTTTTGACAGATGAGTACAATGCTGTTTTGCTTGATCTCTGCCTCAGGTGCTTATTAACCCAGTCCTGACTAAGGTTGGAAAGGAGACAGCGGCGTTTTTTGAGGGATGCCTGAGGTAAATTGAGAAATCCCCTGCATTTCCTTCTGTTTACCTGTTTGTCTTATTGCAAGCATTGTTTCTGCACACAAGCGGTTAACAGGGACCCCCAGCCCTGGTTAACCCCCTCAACGCTGAAAAGTGCATTGGAGATCTTTTTTTTTTTTTTTTCTGTTTTTTTTTTTTTGCCCTGTTTTATTTTTGGTCAAGGTCTGTGTGTGCCATGTTTGGTGTTTGTTGGGGTCTTGGAGTTGACTGTTTTTTGGCTAGCCCTGAAAAATCCTGAAAATTCTGAAAACTGAAATGAGTGAATTTTGCATGAAAACACACTTTTGCCTTGCTGTTTTCAATTTTGTTTTTGTACGTAGTTAGTATGATCTCCACTCTATGAATTGGTGGCAAGTTTGGTTAAAGTGACCCTTGGGTTTTTGTTATAAATGGCCTGACAAGTGGTGTGAAAATTGAGGCCTCCATTAACCGTCTCTCGAATCTGCGGGACCTCGGTCAATCTGATTTCCTTATCTTCAGTTCATGTAGTTCTCTCTCGAATCTTCCTGTAGGATATAATCCCTCTTGTTGATGTGATTTGCTTGTGCAGGGTGGAGGAGTACCGGGCATTGGTGGAGAGTGCTCTGGAAGTTGAGGGGCGAGAAGACCTGTGAGGCTCCTCAGGAGGGAGGCAGAGGGTTCTGCATTATTAGAATCTGTGGGGCCTCAGACTCAGTCAACGTGATTTGATGTCCTTTTCTTCGATGCACTTAGCTCTCGCTTGAATCTTCCTGTAGGTTGTAATCCCTCTTGTGGATGTGATTTGCCTGTGCAGTGTGGAGAAGTACCGGGCATTGGTAGAGAGAGCTCTGGAAGTTGAGGTAAAGGCCCTGGGCAGAGACGGGAAACCAGTTCACATCAAGGCAAGGGGTTGGCAAGCACGCATCCTCCAGCATGAGTGCGATCACCTGAATGGTCTTTTGTATGTTGATCGAATGGTGCCAAGAACATTCAGGAGTGTGGAGAATCTCCATCTTCCTTTAGCTGCAGACTGTCCTCGGCCAGGCCCTTGTTTGCATCCAGTGAAACGAGCTTCAGCCTGAATTCTTCTTTCTGTAAGTATTCTATCGCAATTTGTGAGCCTGTAAGCCCGGAGGTTTTGCAGGAATACTGGTGGATGATCAGCCACCTCATGGGCATCTATGCTGGTAGTGATTATTTTGCATTGAATTCCTGATAATGGCCAGTTGTATGACTACACTGCAAGCAGTAGAAGCTTCTTCTGCCTAAGAAGTAGGAAGTACTGCCGTCTTCCGCCGAAAAATAGGTTGCTTTCTATTCGAATAGAATGCATATGCGTTCTGTTCGGACAGTGCTTAAATTCGAAAACACAATGCATATGCATGCTATTTGAATCATTGTTTTTTTTCTTTTTTTTTTCCGAATAGTGTAACACGACGCGTGTGTTATGTTCGGGGAAGACGGTAGTCCGTGGAAACCTGCTCTGTGCGTCAGCCACTCCCTTCATTTCTGAGGCTCCTGAACATGCTATGTCAGCCCCCCGTGTGGACAGCATTTTCAATCCAATGTGAACTGCGCAGGGGCATACTTCTGAAGAGGGGACACACTGTTTTCAAGGAACTGACACTGAGTGTAGTGTGCTGCAGTGATTGCTTGTTCTGTAGACCAGGACGATCATCTGTGACATTGTCTTGTGTTTCATCTGTGACATTGTCTTGTGTTTCATCTGTGACATGTCTTGTGTTCCATCTGTGACATTGTCTTGTGTTGTTGACGATTGTCACTTTCTGTGTAATCTTGGTTGCATACGGCTTGCAGATTTGATTTGTTCTGTTCAGAATCAGCGAGGCAAGGACGTCGACTTGGGGCTTTCCTTTTCCATGCACACGCAAGTGAAGATGCCAAAGAGGGCAGCGTGGTCGACGGATATGACCTGCCAAAGACGCCGAAGCACGCCCGTTGCAACCGGCGTGGTAGGCGCATGCCTTCCTCTATATCCGCGAGGCGGGCGACTACTCAGCATTATCCTCTCTCTTATCTGGATGTACATAGTGTTGTCATTTTGCTGCACTTTTGCAAAAGGCTGAAGGCTGAAGGGTGCCACCTAGGCAACGTATGGCCAATGTCTGAAATTATTTTCTCTATGTATGGATGCACAGTTGTCTTGAGGATTCTGAATGTAGAATCCTGAAGTGGGGGGTAATGATCATTACCTTACTACTGCATATCGCCGTGAACTAGCACTTGTTTCTTTCTTTTTTTTTAGTCCTTGTTTTAATAGGATCTGGCCTAAAGGAATTTTGCCATGCAAGCCCTTGTGAACTAGCCCATGTTGACCTTGCCCTTGTCTAGTTCCTAGCCTGGGATTGGTATGTCTCTGTAAATATGTGTCCAGAGCTTATAAGTGACGCAGACACACGTTTGTGTGTTGGGGGGTTAGCGTTGAAGAGCGGAGGTCAGGGCCACATCCCTGGACAAGCACGCACAGAGAGAGAGAGAGAGAGAGAGAGAGAGGATCTTCTTGTGTGGTTTTGTGAATAAAATTCAATAAATGTATAGTTATTTTTGTGGTTCTGTGAATGAACAAACGTATTTTCGGCCACGGAAATGTATCTTGGCAGGTGGTGCGCGGGCTGGTTAGACAAAGCCCCACCTGGAGCACTCGAGGCGGAATTCCTGGTATGATATGATGAAAGAGCCACTCCAACATGTGGGATTCAAGGTGGAAGCTCAAGTTCACTAAAAAGTTAGTAAAAACAGCTACCGCTTCATTCTCATATCGGCCTGCTTGTCTGCCTTATGGCAGCGTTACAACAGGTGCCCGGAATCTCTTTGGCTTTGTTAGGTCGGTGAATGTTGTAGCACTCCTGTGTTATCTCTTCCAATACGCTAGTGAGGCGGTGAAATGGCAAAGGGGTTGTGCCATGGAGAACTTCTGGCTGAGTCTGAAGTTGGCAAAGCTTGTCAGACATTGCGCCCGTATACGGTGGTGGATAATAAAGCTGATGCGTCTGCTTTTCTAAACAAAATACTGTTGTGGCTTTTGGATGGGTGGGTGCTAGCGAAGCTCTCTCATCAATGCCTTTGTTGTATCTTGCTAGGAAGATTGTCACGCCCGACCGGTCGGGCGTGATGGACGTGCAAATAATGTTTGACGATATATATGAATATATTTTTTTTGGTTTTCTGCACTCTCCGAGAGGAGCCCAAATCCGGCTTGCTTCTGTTTTTGAGAGTTGGCTGTCGAGGGGGGTGAAGGTGGGTATAAATTGGCTTCAAAAGGGGCTAAAGGTGTTTAAAGGGGGGTGCCTTAGTGTGACTCTGTTATTTTCTTTTTTATCTCCGATTCTGTGTTGAATTCTGATGTGACCCTCAGCCCAAAAAAAAAAAAAAGTCGTTTGTTTTGCAATTCTACACAACATATTTTTTTCCCGGATTTTTTTTTTGGGCACTGGGGCTGCCCGGAATCCTGCCTGGGAGTCATGCCCGGCCAGGCACCCCCGGGTGTGTACCCTGTCATAAGTTGGGTACCCGGGCGCCCGGAAAAACAGCCTATGTATCTTGTTCATTGTCAATGCTTCTTTTTTTTTTTTTTCGTTTTTCAGGTTTGAAACTTGACCAGCTATTCACATTACGCCCTTTTTTCGTTTTTCGTGTTTTTCTGGACTGTTCTGAGCTGTAAGTGCACACTCTCTTCACATTATGCCCTTTTTTCTGGTATAGCTATGGAATTGCTCCAGACCTGCATTTTAGATGCAGCGCTTTGTGCTGTATGTTTCTGGGATTAGAAATAAGGAGGGGGGGTTCCTACATGTTGTCTTGGCATTACGATGGAACAATGTATATATTATATTTGCTTTATCTTCTTGCAAGGAAATCTGTGTATTGTCTTTTCTGCTTTGCCCAGTTTGATTACTTGTTGGGAAAAGGAACTGGAGCTTCCTGCTCATTCAGCTACGCTGGTAGGTTTTGTGGCATTTGACGTATGGAATGCAATGATTAAGCCTTCCAAGCAGGCAAAGGAGTGATCGAACCAAATTGCGGGGGCAGGTAAGCATTTGACGTATTGACTCGTCGACTATTAGTTTGGCACTACTTTTGCCCAAATACTGTGTTGATGTTCTGGAGGATGCTTTGAAAAGAACAAGTCTACCCCCCGTGGCTTATGCGCTTGGTGCAGGGTGTAAGCAGGTGGCACGAGTGCCCGGTGTGTGCAGCGAAGTTGGCAAGAGAGACTTCGGCATTGTGTTTCTTAGGGAATTGTCCCATTGTCTTGGTTTGTGCTCGAGAGAGCAGAAGTTTTTGTGGGTGGAAGGAAGTGGGGCACAGAAACAGGATGCAGACGGCGGGGTTATTCTCTCTTTCTCTCTCTCACTCGCAGACATATCTATACCTTTGTTTGTTTTATGGATGGTCTGTGATGATTTGTGGATGGAGGCAGAGAGAGAGTTTGGGGTTGTTAGGAAAACAGACGTTCCGGTCTTGTTAGCTCTCTTTCCTGACAGATTTTGAGCGGTTAGGATCGGGCTCGTACTAGCGATCTATTCTGCTTTTGTAGTTGGATATGACGTTGATGGTTTTGTTTATCACACACACATGGCCTAATTGTTTGCCCTGATTTAGAGCATGGACTGTCTATTTGATGAAGGAATGTCTGTGGGTAGCCATGAGTTTTTTCGGGGTGCGAATGTATGTGTGGAGGGCTGGCCACGGTATCTTCGCCAGCAGTCTCAGAGACTGTTTGCTGTGGGTGTCATTTCCACGGGCTGCTTTTTTGTTTTTTTGCAGTAGCGCTCCTGGTGACGCGTGGAGGCTATCATATGGATTTGGCATATTTTGCACAGTGGCTTCGTTGTCGCAATATGATGTCATTCGATTCTGCAGTTTCTGCAGCCAGGGGAGGTTCATGGGACTGTTTGTTTGATATCTGGTGGTTCTGGTGTTTGTTCGATATCTGGTGGTTCTGGTGGTCAGAGGGCTCTCTTAAGTGTTTTCAGACCAAGTCCTAGGGGTTGGGAGTGCGGTCAGTTCTATCTTGTTGTGTGTGTGTGTGTGTGGCGGGGCGGGAGGTTTTCGGTTGTGGTGCAACCAATTGTCTATTATGGCCCTCCATCCTTTCGTCGATTATATCATTATGATATATTTGTGGAAGTGTGCTGCTTTGGCGGCAGACGGATGTGAGGGCACTCTGCGCTTAACCACAGACGGGTGTGTGGGCACTCTGTGCTTAACCACACTAACTTGGCCAACCTTGCATTTTCTACCATTATATTGCTAGTCTATACATCTTTTGTTTTATGGATGGTCTGTGATGATTTGTGGATGGAGAGAGAGTTTGGGGTTCTTTGAAACATACACACACACACACACACACACACACACATCCTACCTGTTTCAAATTAAAAAGGAATGAATTGAAAGCAAAAGGGGTCGAACTAAAACAAGAAAAGGAAAGTGGACTGCCATTATACCGACCACCATGCTCCCAGCCACCATCATCCCCACTGCCATGATCTCGCTAAAAGATGACCGCGATGACTGCTAGGGGATTGGGTATATGACGAAGGTCAGTGTTTGTGTGTGTGTGTGTGTGTGTGTGTGTGTGTGTGTGTGTGTGTGTGTGTGTGTGTGTGTGTGTGTGTGTGCGGCTTCTAAGTAATGAAAGTGTGTCCTTTTAAAAAAAGACAAAAATGTGCGATCCGTGTGGTTCATTCCATGCCACCTTGTATACCTCACGGTTTACTGTTTTGTACTCTGTTCTACAATGTGCCATCCTCTTGAACATTGGATCTAGCTTTACATCGAGAATGCAGCAGGCCTCCCCAGTGTCCAATCTCTCTCTCTCTCTCTCTCTCTCTCTCTCTCTCTCTCTCTCTCTCTCTCTCTCTCTCTCTCTCTCTCTCTCTC